ACACAAATATCAGTCTTCAAGAGCAGTGGAAAGAACAGCATCCTTCCTTCTAACCTGCCTGCAAACAGGCTCTCAGCACACCCCCCAACAGCGCTTGGTATTGCAGCTTTGTGAGTCAGCAGCATCCCTGTACGCTTCACACTAAAACCTGGTTTATTATAGTTCCATTCACCGTTGGCAACCACCAGTGACCTGAGATTGTGTAAAAATATGGTTGTAGCAACTGTATCATTACTCTGAGTGTGCAACTCCCACATTATCTGTCATTTTAAGAGAAGATGGTCAGTGGAAATAAGCAAATGTCTTGCGATTTGAGCAGCTATATTTTGGTGGCTCACTGGATTGCCACTGCCAGCCAGTGAAACTGGATAAGGAGTTTTGCAGTAATCATTGCTTTGCAAGTGAGAGACGTGGGTGTTCTGCACTTGAGAAGTCGACTCCTAAATGACTTGCTAGGGGCTGTTTTGGTGCATGGTAACAGAATTACTGCTCAAGACTGCTTTTGTTTTAACAAGAAAGTAATTGAAGTGACTACGGCCCCCTTGAAGTCTTATTTTTAGATTACAATAAGCAAGATTCTGATTAATTTAGCAGCAGGGTATCAGTGGCTATTAACAGCATAACATGAGGCCCTGGTAGATTGATAAGGAGCTAAACAGCCCCTGCATCACGTATTAACAATCTGGACATATACTATAAGTGAGGCTCATGTTGGGTAATTGTCAGCGTGGTTGATAGTCAACACAACAGCAGCAGCTATTTATCATTTAAATGGGTGTTTAAATTATTCATAGTAGTAGTTGACAGTCATCAGTACATCTGAGCCACAGTCCAGTTATTCTAGGCGTGGGTGACAAGCTTTAATTTAGTTAGCTTAGGTACAGCACTGGGCTCTGCTTGCACAAACTCACCTGTGTCAGTAAGCAATTTCTCAGGTGGTGTCTCCAGCCCATGATCAGATCCTTCATCTGTGGCCCAAGCATTAGTGATGCATGAATAAACAGGGATGCATCTAGCTTGGGTGTGATAACCAAACCAACAGCCGGGCAAACGTTTCTCCTACCATCAGAGCCACTCATGTTATATGTAGTTTTACCTCCCCAGACGAAGAAAGAAGGTAAAACCTGCAATGCTGACCGGTAGTCTTATTTTTATCTATTTATTTTCTTAAGTCTGCTTTGGTTGCAGAAGACTTGAGCAATTCCCCTGTGAACTTAATGTCTCTTAACTAGTTTTATACGTTTTGGGACATTCTAGCTAAATAAGAGTGAAAGTTTAGGAACCATTAAAGGTGCAGAAGGAGTTGGTAACCACTCAGTTTGTCCTCCAGTTCCTTCTTGTTGTAGCATTAGCAATTCTGAGCTAGTCACACAGTGGGATGTAGCTTAAATTAATTAGCTAAATTGCTACCTAATGCCAAGAAGATTTGATGCCACTTAATATTTCAGTGCAAACACGGCAGGCAGGTTAATGTATTTAAATACGATTGGCTCGCCTTTTCTAGTGGAGTATCTTAACTCCTGTTTGGGCTGTCTGCAGCACTCATTGTGCTCAATTAATTCTGCCATTAGCAGTGGTCTGATCTGCTCTTAGCTCTGATAAAATGTACAGTCATCTCCATGGCCCTCTCATTAAGTGATGACCATCCTGTGGTAAGGATGCTGAAATGCAGTTTAAAGGGGGAGGGAGGACACACACTATGCTTTGTACATAATTAAGTCACATTAGCAATGGGAGACTTAATTACAATTTGGAGTTTATCAGCAGAAATCTCCAACGGTAGCTTGCAGCCGGCGATAGTGCGGGGCTGTGCACGCACACGCTGCACAGTAGAGGAGCAGTTGTTTCAGGCCGTGGAAGAGCTCCGGATGGAAGGTGCTGATTATTCTTAGCATCCCGTGCCTGGGAAAAGTCATCGAGTTTGCTTATGCGCCTCTTGGTTTTCTTTTCTTTCTGCCCGCCCTCTCCCCCCACCCTCCTTGTGAAGCAGCCCTTCTGGCTTTGTTGTAAGTGTGCTCTGTAATCATTGTACACATCCCAGATGGTTCATGAAAACTCTTTGAAATGCCATCTGCCAGGCGTGTGTCCAGCCGGCAGCCTGTCATTCTGCTACAAGAAAAACGGAGGCGGGTTTTCCCTTCCCCCTGCCTTTCTGAATTGCGTTCAGTAACACTTGCTCAGATGTGAAGCAGGATAACAGCCCAAGCATCTGCAAGCAATCTTTGCTCTAGACAGCAACATGGAAAGTTGTTGGGTTTTTCGCCTTCGCCCAGATAAGATATCCTAACCAGCGCAGTTTTTATTTTCTCTCTGTTTGTTGTTGAGGACCAATGCGAGGTGACAAATGTTATCTCTGTGGTGTAATGTTTTTCTTTTACGTGGCGAGTTGGTGTTTCTAATGCATTCAGCGTGTGTTGCAGGCAGTCGTGCTGATAGCAAGCACATCTGCGATTTTTTGACTTGAACATATTCAGGAAATTAAGAACACTGAGATGAAACAAATAGATCCATTAAAATGGCTCAGAGGAATTATGGCAGAGATATAATTGTCATGTCAAATAGGCAGCCAGCACTAGTAAACTGCTGACTGCAATTTCACCGCTCTAAAAATTCAGAAGGAAAAAAAAAGATTAATAAATACTCTCTGTGAGAAGATATAGATAAAGAAGAGGGCTTTAAAAGATAAAGTAAAATGAATCCTGAACTTCCCTGATCTTTGTGTCTCATGAATATGTGTTGTCAGTTACTGGGAAAAAGTATGTCCCGATCTTTGTCATTCAGCTTGCGTGCCGCTTGGCTTGGGGTGACGTTTGACTGATGCATTGGGTGAGGAGCACTGCAGAGTCTAATTCTCATTTCCACTGTGCTCCAGGCATGGGACAGCTACAGCGCATCCCTGGACATACTTATTGCTGAGGCTTTTCGTTCTTCTTCCTTCCCTCTTGTGGGCCTGCTTTAGGGAAACCTGGCAGTGGTCAACAGCCACGCTGCTCCGGCGGTGGTGCGCACAGCCTGAACATCTACAGCAGGACCGATGCTCAGGGAGGAGATGCTGCCTCCGGGCTGTGACCCTTCATCCCAGTTGCTGGCTGCATGCGTGTTTCTTGCGTGCAGGGAGGGACCTGCGTGGGCAATGCCCGCTCAGTCTCACTGCCTGCCTTTGGGCAGAGAGGGGCGTGTGGTGCAGTTCCAGTATTTCTCTGTTCCGGAGCTGTGAAAGATATCTGTCCTCAAACAAAGATATCTGTGCTACAAACTACTTGGTACAAACCATTGTAGTCTTACTGTAAGGATTCCAGAGTACAAAGAATGCAAAATTGAATCCTTGCAAATATGAAAGAGTAATTCTGCTAGTTCAGTGAAGATATCCATCCCCATTTCCATCTCCTTTTTTGCTTTTCCTCCTCCTGCCTTCACCCATTCACACAGCTCCAAGCGCAGGAATGATTGAAAAGCACTGGAATTTATAAACTATCTTAAGGCTGATGGCAACTAATAAAAAGAGAGAATTTCTATTTTGAAACAAGAAATGGAGGATGTTAGAGAAAGTGGATGTCTATCAAGGAAATTAATCTAGTGATAGTCTTTCAAGGGTGTCACTCTGTCAAGACTGACCTCTTGAGCAGTCTCTTGGATGAATAGCGCATAAGCAGACTTTCCGCTTCCCTGGCACTTGAGGAAAACATTTTCCAGATGCAGGCACGGTGAATTTATGCCCTTTCAACTTCTGAGAGCTGGAATCTTCCAAATTAGTTTCCAGAAGCTCAGCTTCTTTAGACTGTCTTCAGTCCTTTTATAGAAATTGTATGCACTGAGAAGGCACTGACTGCCCAGGGGCCAGAAGGGTCCCACAGAAGTGAGAACTCACGCTTCATTAAATGTTAGGTATGGTTTCCACATCTTTAAAGTTATTCCCAAGCCAGCAGATTGGTTGCAGCCACAGCACTTGGACACCTCCAACTCTCTAACGCCGCTCTTTCTTCTAAAGTTCAGTTTCCTGTACCATCTGTAAGTCTGTCATTTATATTTAATCTCAGATGTACAGAATCCAGCCATCTCCTAGTCTCCAGAGTCATGGCAAAAAAAGGCTATTGAACAGAAATTGATCCTAATGAATTAAGCTGTGCTCAGTGACCTAAAATGCAGTGGCCCAAACCATCTTAGCAAAAAGTCATGCAATGACTCATCTTGCACCATGCTTTAAAGGGCTGTAAATTGGTCAGAAGAGAGAAGAGTTTCAGAGCTGACAGAGTAGCAGTGATGAGACTCCTGTTCTCCATGGGTACTATTGGAATTGTCAAGTGCTAGAGAGAGATTGAGTGTGAATTATTACTCAAAAGTAAAAGTATTTCTTGAACTGGAATGAGCTTGTAGGTGAACTTCTGTGAGAAGAGTTTGCAGGTTGTCTCTTTAGTGAGCGCGTGTGAACAGTGCATCAGAACTGTCTCATGGTACTTTTTAATGCTGAATAAAAAATAATAGCATAAATAGAGATGAAGTATTAAGAAAAAATAAGGGAGAAAAGATCTTTATGATGTGAAAGGATATTTGGTGAGATAAAGTGGTACAGGAAAAAATGAAAGCTGGAAAGAAATTGCCTTATCTGAGAATACAGATTGCAATTTTAGTGAAGGTGAATGAAGTATGAGAGACTGTGCCGATAGCGGGAAGGTAATTGCTGGCGTATTCCCAGATGCCAGCTCCTCCAGCTGTGTTTCTGCATGTGCTATGAGAGATTTGTTTGCCAGAGAGTCTTTCTGAGAATATCAAAAACATGGTCGTTGGGTGGAACAACTGGTACCACCAGCTCAGCCTGTGATCTATGTCTTGTGTTTTTACATGGGCTCCTAACTTCTGACTGAACTCTTGTGACACTGCTCTCTGGTGTAGCTCATGGAACTGTATTTTACAGATACTGTTGTGCCTTTATGATAATTTTTTACTGTCTCTTTTAACTCTTGATAAGAAAACTATATTAACATGCTAGTTTTTGCTTTCAGGCACAACCCGCCCTCCAAGAGAAGGAGAAGTGCCTGGTGTGGACTATAACTTTCTGACTGTGGAGGAGTTTCTGGAGTTGGAGCGAAGCGGGACCCTTCTGGAAGTAGGAACTTATGAAGGTATGGAGCCACAGGCAGTGAAAAAGCACTGCAAATAACCGTGGTAGGACACCAGGTTTGCACCACCCTCACTCATGTTAACCAGCTGGAGTTAAGTACCTCCCTTTCTGTCCTAGTGCTCTACTTCCCTCTCTCTCTGCACCTTGAGAGAGGGGAGTCCAATATTGCTGTGCTTTTGTCTTCTCCCTTCAAGTTAACTACCTCAAAAGGTTAACATCAGCAGTCCAGGAATATCCAGTATGAAATCCAGTAAAGAAATACTGAGGGAAGACAACGCAGCAGTGAATGAAAATGCATCTATTCTTCATATCCACTGTGGCTCATCTCCTCGTTCACTTTTTTTTCCCTCCTGCTGTCTCTCCCTCCATCTTCCCTGAATACACATCCTTCATCACCCAAGCTCTGCAGCTACATGATGCACTGCTTTAGGCCTTTTTTTTTTTCTTCTTTATTCTTGGATAATTATTTCTAACTTGGGTCATGGTGTTGATCGTTTTTACAGCACAGCTTTGCAAACAACAGCACCGAGACAGCCAAGGGGCACCGAGATGTCACCAGGGTGAGAGCAGGAAAAGGATAGCTGTGACTCCCAGAGAAATGCAAGGCAAATTGGCCCTGTTTAGGTACACAATAGGATTTGTGTAACTAAACCTACAATCTGTATCTCCTTTAAACTGAAAACTCCTTTTTGGGGTGGTAGGGTTTTTTTGTTTTGGCTTGTTTTTTTTTTTTTTTTTCTTTGAGAACATTCAAACGTGCCTCTTAAGAAGACAGTGGTAAGAAATACGTTACAGGTTTGAAAGTCCTTCCAGTGTACTTCAGCTCACGCATGTCATATTTCAGTTGGCAAGAAGTTAAGTGTAATTACAAGAAGTTGAAAAAGACTTATTCTTGCAGCCATTAATAAGAAACGTGAAATACATTTAAAGATACGAACTACACACAAATTGCCGATGGTCTTTGAAAAGTATTCATCAGATATGAACAGAAAAGATGGTGACATGTGGTTTTGGTTTTCAAGCTCTAAAAAATAGTCCTGAAGCACTGTTTGTTTAGTCTAGTTTTTAAAAAACTCCCTTGTAAGGTCACCTTTAAACCTTGCTCTTATTCCCAACTGCAGACAATTGCAGTGTCAAACCTGGTTTGCATGAAGATGCGAAGTGTATAATTTGGTTTCACTCTTCCACCTCTCTGAGCTGATTAGCTCCATCAGCACCAATGCCGTTCCAGCCGCAGCACTTCTCCAGAATGAGCATTTTCCTCTCCATGTTTCTAATTATAACACTAAATTAGTTTTCTTTGTCATGGTGCTCGAAATAGATCAGCTGAACTGCCTCGCCGTTACTTCCTGATCGTATTTGTTCTGGTGACCTTTCCACTTGGAAAGACAAAATGGGTAACTGTCTGTAAACTGGCTCCTGGGACATGCTGGGAATTAGTTTTCAGGAAATGCTGTACCCATCTGGGACGGTTAGAACGTGGTTGTTTCATTGTTTATGTGATTATACACAGTAGCAGCTAAACTGTTTAGATTTCATGGGTTGCTCTGGAGTTTCTGAAGATGAGGTTGTTTTCTCATAAGTCTAATGGGTATTTCATTTCTGTGGGTGATAGAAATGTCTGAACTTTAGAGGAATAATTTGTCAGAAGTGCTGAGAAGCCTCTTTCTCCGTTGACATCAGTGACGCTGGTGCATAGTGGTTCTGAAGAGATGGCCCATAGAAGGAAAAATCAATATGAATAAAGCAAATGATGATGCATCTGTGCACATATGCATCAAGACACATTACTATTTGATTGTAATGTGAAATAAATAAAGTTCATTTTTCACTTGCAGCTTCAAGAAATGATTTTGCTGCCTTCCAAGATTTCTTTAATGGCTTTGTTGTACTTTTTTTTGGAAATCTTATTTTACAACTGTATTGATCAAGACAGTGTTGATCTTGATTAGATCTCAGAAGATGGTGTGATTCAGACTCAATGCTGCAATCATCAGCAATTTTGTCTGTAAAAAAACCCCAATCTGCCAGAAAACTCAGACCACAAAGTTAGACTTCTAATATCCAAGTCTTTGTTACGGCCCAGCTTTTTATAGTCTTAGATTAATTATCATTTATTTTATGCTACATTTTTCTTCCTGCCTTTTTTTTTTACATGTACAACTGTGATGAGTTTGATTGTATTTTTGACCCTGCCAGTAATAGCTTATTGTAAGCCAGAGGGAAGGAACCCAACAAAAGGAAATAATCTATTTCTCTCTGGAGAACAATGAAATAATACCCTTAATGCATGGCTTTTACTCTTAGTAATGCTACCTGTTATACTGAGCAGGAATCAAACAAATGTAAAGATAAGGTTGCTTTTGATTACAGTGTAATTAGGTGATTTAGAGATAATGGAAGGGGAATGCTATGAAATGAAGAGTAGGGATGGTGAATGGGGAACTTTTCGTGTGCCCGGCAGCCACAAGCTCCCCGCGGCTCAAGCAGGCTGGTGTTTTGCGGCCAGGGTGGTCCCAAGGCCCCTTCTGGCCCTTAATTTCTAACTGTCTGCGTGTAGTGGAGGGGAGATGGATGTATGCTCTGTATTTCTGACCTGCATAATCAAGATAAAGGTTTTGGCGTTACTGGGTGACATTTTCTTGCCTCTTGAAGGCATAAAGCCATCCAGATACTGGGACTGTCATTGGGAAAAACCTTGTGGGAGAAGACATAACACAAGCATTTGTTTAGTAACAGCTACTGAAGAGAATTTCTGGGGAGAAAGGTTAGAAAATAGGGAGCCGTCAGAAGAGGGGGGTAAGACACAGGACTTTGATGCTGGTATGGATACTATTGATTTGGAGAGAATAAAGACCAAGCAGAAGAGAACAGTTGGAAACCACAAAAGAGTAGGAGAGTGTATCAGGTTTTGAAAGAACAACCTGGGGTTCGAAAGTTCTCTAATTGCAGAGAGAGAAGCTGCAAGCTGAAAAGGACAAAAAAAAGGTGTTGCCTACCTACTGGGCTGCATAATGTCATTATTACCTCTGGTGCACTGCAGATAGGTTCCTCTGGGAAGTTGTTTAATTCCCATCCCGGTGAATGCAGAGCAGCCATGGCAGCTGCTTTTCTGGTCACCTGTCACCTCCATGGTGCGCTCTGCACCCAAAAGGCTCCAAAAATCCAGATCGGGTGGGAGAGAGTGTTTGCAAGCAGAAATTCCTGAGGTTTTCAGTTCCAGTTTTAACATACTGATTTTTAACCATAAAGCCTAGAAACTTCCTTTTTCCCCAAATGAAAGCTATGTGTTGATCACGTGAATCCAGGAGCTGGAGCTGAAATCCTGGAAGACCTGCCCAAGGCTGCGATGCTGCACCAGTACTGGTGCTTGTTGCACTACGTGCATGCTGGTAAAGCTGCAGACAACATGCTCAAGACAATTAGTAATTCCCATTGACAAGACTCATTAGGAAGGAAAAATCTTTTTAGACTGCACATTGTTTAGGCCTTCTGGTGGACAGGAAACCATGATAATTGTAATCTCAAGCATTTATTGACTGATCCTTCGGGGCATTAAATACTGACAGATGCATGGAGGTAATTGTGTAGGTTACTAATCGTTTAGCAATTACTTCTGTATTTGAATTGCGGGCGCTCACAGGGACCCCAAGGGAGGACTGTTTTGAGCAGAACCACAGCTTCTGGATTTTATTCCCATTTCTTCCCCAGGTGCTGAGTGGCCCTGGGCAAATCAGGTGACTGCTCTATACTTCAAGTTACTGGCCTGGAGACTATTAAAACAGCACTTACTTCTCTCTTCATTAGTATTTCAGCAGATATCCTGTGGCGGCGGTTATCTCCTGTTTCAAATAGGAGAGCGAGGGTGTTTCAGACGGCTGTGCTGAATGCAGCCGCGGAGATGGGCGCTGTGCAGAGACACGCGGGGACGTTGGCGTGGTGGCTGACTTTTGAATGGGGATGGCTGTGTCACCAGGGTCTGGTGAGGCTGTATTAATGAATGCCTGCCCAGCACTTAGTGATCCTCAAAAGAAAAAGTGCTGCACTTTATAACATGTGAAGGGTTATTACATTATAGCGTATTATTGTCAAGGCATCATCTTTCATTCTCAGGACAAGTGTTATGTGATTGCCAAGAGAAGTAATAAGTAATCTGCATTAGTCTCATGACTAAGATGTAATGGGGTGACTTGCTAACATTTTTAAAGTGTATAAAACTAGCTACTGTAGACAGGGTCTCTGATTGTGGTACTTAATGAGTGTAATAAATTACCTTAATAGTGCAGTTAGAATTTCAGCGAAGTAGAGAGGTGTATTGAGCAACATGCTTCAAATCAAGATGCCTTTAGCCTAATTTATCTGATGTGCTCGCTCGCCTTGGGTTTCCTCGCAGCAGCCCTGCGCCCCCAGCTGCTTTTGCAAAATGGCTAGGTTTTCTCTGCTGCTCTTCATGGGTCTTCGCAGCCTGTGGGTCTTGCCCGCTTGGTTCAACCTTGAAATGCGAGCTGTGTCCGTGGCATGCAGAGCATGACAGGAAGATTGGGCGAGTAAGGGCAGCAGATGCTGGGGATGCCCATGCAGCGGAACATGTTCCGCTTAATGAGATAAGATCCCCTTATTAATGTCTCCATACTACAGATTGACTCAATAAATCGTAATGTCTCCTTTAGCACTATTACAATGTATCATGTCAAATATCCACTTATTAACATCTGTGCACTGCAGAAAGATTCCTGTTCTGTCTTTGGCTCTTATGGTTTTCTTTCTTTTTGTTTGTTTGTTGTTATTTTTTTAAACCACTAGTAAGAAAAACAGGCAGCATGTTCTTGTGTGTGTGCATGATTATCAGTGTTAGGCACGAGCGCTGCGATGCTGAAGTGTCATCTGATAACAATGCTGCATTCGGCAAACAGCTGAAGTGGTAGCTGAGTAACTCTCTCTAAAAGCAAATATTCAAATATCTGATAGGGTTTTAGGGCAGGTGTGAATTTCCTATGGTAT